TTCAAGAGGTCCAGGAGTACTTGGTAACTTGAAGATACTGGGTTTGGTTTACTATTGGTAGGGGCATTTGGTGCCACTTGGCCTTGCACTTGTAGCCAATGTGCCCTTTTTTGTTGGCCTTTGTCCATCTCTTCACTGATTTCATTTGCCTACCTAACTGGCCTTCTACCGTATGGTTTCTCGTTGCCTTTAAAGTCTGACAGGTCTCTATTGTAACCTTGACCTGACATTTCCTTTCATTTTGAATGGCATTTCTTTGCTTTATTGGTTGTGTGAATGTCATAAGCTGTGATGAACCACTGAACTGCAGGTGCCAGCTTCACAGAGATCTGCTGACCCAGGTTAATCATTCCATTTATTTTAGCAAGAAGGAATAGGCTGTAGCATTCCCGCTGAGTCTTATTTGAGCAACAGTTTTTCAAAATTCTAATGTGTTCCTGTAACTTTAGTTATTCTTTGGTCTTTGCTTCTGGTTTCCTCTCCAGTTCTGCATTGATTTTAGTCCTTACTGGCTTGTTCTGCAGTTCTTAGCTTACTTCAATCTACTGCCCAAAATTGCAAGTGGAAATACTTCCTGTATACATCTTGAGCCATCCAAAGGGATCTTGCCTAACATTTCCTTGTTCTAGTCTTTTCTGAGCATTCAACCAGTGTTGATGCTTATTAATCAAACTTGAAATTATTCTGTTTCATGGAAAGTTTATCAGCCCTAATTTTAACACAGTGTGAGATTCACCTTGTGATTTACCTTTAAAAATTCACTATCTGTCCTGTGGTATTTGCAGGCTGAGTAAGCTTGTGATAACAACATTCACAAGATTCTAGAAAACTGCTCTAATGTAAAAAGTGTTTTTAACAGAATTAGTTTTTCTTTTATGAAAAAGGGAATTTCTCAATGCTTTTGCTAAAAACAGCATGTGGTTTAATTTGATAGGACAAGTGGCTTCTTAGCACTTTATATTTAGTTTTTTAAAAAGCTGAGATCTCCCCCCACACAAGAAATAAATATCCTTATAGAAACCACCTTCTCCCTGGTTTAATGTATTTTCAGATTTCCACTCCAAAAATAAATATTTTTCCCTTTAGAACATACACAATATGGACATTAAAATCCAAAGTCATTTGAGTCCTTAATAAAATATATTATAATTTGACTCTTTAAACAATGAAATATATAGTATTTAATGAGTATAAACAGTGTATCAATGGACTATGAATCTATTTAAGAAGCAAACAACATCTTAGAAGATCTCATATACAGCAGTCAATTTTTTCATAATTGGTTAATTAAAGAACAAGGCAACAATAATAATAGAGAGTACAGTGCTCAAGTAAGACAAAGCTTTTTATCTGAAAGAAAGAGAAAGAAATTCTTACTACTATGAAATAGTAATTTCAGTTGCAAGACTTGCACGGAATTATATAGTATATCTTTATACCCTTTTTATTTGAAGTACATGTGTATGTGTGTGTATAAATTAGGGAAAACTTGAATTTCTGGGTGAAAAAAAAAACTAAAAACAAAACATGTATAGCTGAAGCCAATTTTGCTTTCTGGCTATTTTCCTTTCTGTGGTGTCCATTATCTTTTGTAACCAAAATTGGTTAAGAGTAAAGGTATCTTCGTGGTGCTATAGTTTTAGACTGTTTTCATTGTTTGGTCAGTTTAAAACTCTTTCTTTACTGGACACTAACTTAATTTTAAAGAGAAATATACCTAAATTTTGCATTTCATAGTAATATATTTTCTTCAAGGTGCTGTCAGGACTAAGCTTTTTCTGCACATCTTTTAAAAAATGGCTGCAGAACTTCTGTGCCTTGCATTTTATTTTGTAGTGGAGTAATCTGGCTGGATTGAACAGATTTGGGACTACCAGCTAGTCATATCTCCTTTGTAAAATATGTTAATCCTTAATGGCTTTAGTTAGCCACAGATATTTATTTAAGGTTTCTTTGCATTAGAGTTTTATTCCAACAGTATCCCACTGTGTTGCATTTCCCCTTCCTTAATGGGGCTTTCCACACTTGTTTTTTCCCATCTGCAACATAACCCCACAAAGCACAAGACGTTTCAGGTGTGGGAGGAATTTCCCAAATGCATCATTATGAAAGCACAACATACCTTTACACTGGCAGGGAAATCACAGTTGTGATGCCCCTTCCTTTTGTACTCCTTCTTTCTGAAAAACTCAGCAGCCATGGCTTTGTTATGGATGGTTGCCATTACAGTGCAATACGCCTTTGAAACACCCTTCATTCCACTCCATGTACCAAAGTGTCATTTTTTCAGGGTTGTCACATGAAAAGATATAATAAAATATTTACAAAATGTGAGGGGTGTACTCACTTCTGTGATATACTGTAGATATTATCTAAGAAATTTTGGAAAGTTTTCTATATTGGAAGTTGCTGAGCTACAAGTTCCTATCCAGATGCACCTTTATGGTGGACATTGGGGATGGATATTTGGCTTGTATTATTTGCTGTTGCAAACTTTTCTTCTACCCAAAAGCAAACGAATGCGGCCCTCTTTCTTGCAGACTTCCTCTACAATTTAGTTCCACTGAAGTCAATGTGATTGATTTGTAGGGCCATCAAAGATGATTTGATTTACTTCAGAGTGAACATGCCATTGAGCTAGTTGTTTCTTTAGGGAAAGGACAAAGGAAGCAGTTCAGAAAGCTTAAACTGACCACAAACATTTTTTCAGAGTGAGAAGAAGAGCCATCTGCAAATCAGAGTGGGGCAGGCATAAGGTGTTAGCAGGGAGGCCAGACAGAAACTGAAGGATTTTCCAGTTGCCAAAACCCCTTGAATGTTCTTGCATCCTTCCTCCAACTGTCTCTTTCACTGCTTCTTTCACCCCAAATGTCCAGATTAAGGATTTTCTGTTGCTGCAAAGCCCCCCCCCCCCCCCATTTTAGTGGAATCAGCCATGCAGAAAGAAACAAGGAGGAGAGAAAAATCAAAGGATAGTCTCAACCTGTTGCAAGCACATGGAGCAACAGTGGAAGAAAAGAATAGCGCAAGGCACAAAGTGCAAATCAAGGTGGTACCAAGCATCACTCCTACCACCTTATCACTCCCAGCATGACAATCCCAACATGGCCCTTCTCAAGGGATAGCGAAACATACCATTGTGCTCAAAGTTTGGTGCCAAGTTCAAAGCAAAAATAAAGGTTATTTCTTCATGTAAAGAAAAAGTAGGAGAAGCAACTACGAAGTGTGGGACAACCACTGGATGAGGATGATGTTGTGAAAGGCTCCATAAATTTATCTGAGTGAAGGGATTATGAGTGCACGATAAATACCTTGGGTAGAGAAATTTCCAAGAGTATTTTGCAAGATTAAGAGGAACTCTTGACAGATCAGACTGAATGGTTCACCTTGTTTCCCACAATGGTCAGCCAGATTCCTCTGGGAAGTCCACAGGCAGGGTATGAAGAAAATGGCCATAAGAACATAGAGCTATATTGGTTCAGAATAAGTGTCCACCTAGTCCAGCATTTTGTTTACAGTGACCAACCAGCTGTTCATGGGAATCCACAAGCTGGACATGAGTGCAGTCTAATTATACTGTTGGGGCTTCAGGATGAAAAAAAAGGAGCTGCAAAGAATACTTCAGATCGATTCTATGGAACAAATTTACGCGGTATCTAGTATCTAGTACCATGGTGGTACAGTAAACAGAATCAATGAGAAAATGGTAGTCCCCAGATAAACACTTTAAAAATGACAAGGAAGGAACATTATAGTGGTGGGATTTTCTCTGTATGGCAGGAGGCTTGGCATCCAATAAAAATCAAAACTCCGAGGGGAATGATGAGATGAGAAAACCAGGGGGCCAACCAAAGGATAAAGTGTTTTTGCTAAAGAATAGCTATAATGTAATAAGCCAAAATGTAGGAAAAAATGATAGTTATAATGATGGACTTGCATAGTTACCTTGATGAGATTTTCATTATTGCTTTCAATAATGAAAGCAATCTTGATGACTTGAAAACATCTTGATGACTGTTTTCATATGGCCATGTAATGCTTTGGCCATTTATCTTTTTAAGGCTTACTGATTTGGAACTCAGGCTTGATAAAGATGTAACACTGTCAAATGCTGTTGAGTTTCATGGCTATGTTTAGGGAAATCACAGAAGCTTCCTATGGGATAATATGCTTATTCCTTTCTACCTTTTCCATTGGACTTTCCCTTTCTCTCTGTTTTAAAGTTAACAGTTATTATTTAGGTTTCTGGTAACCCCAATGAAATGACAAATAGTAGGTAAGCGCACTTCTGACCAGAGTGCACGTGCTGGCTCTAGTTTTTGATTACAGAGATTCAGAGCTGCAGACATTAACTTTGAAAAGAAATGGAGGATAGTTCTCATAAAAGAAGAACCTATAAGAAAGGAGAGTAATCCTCAAGTAAAATATCTTTAAACTAATCTCAAAACTACTTTTGTAAGACTATTATCACTCTTATTTGTATTTCTTGTACTACTATATTGTTTCTGGACTTTTTTTAGAAATGGTATTTAAATATTGTAGTTATTAAAATAAAAGTGCTTTAACAGGAATGTTTTGCATTTTGTTCATAAAATATTGATTGGCAGTAAGTGAAATTTAATTTTCAAATCACATATTTGTTTGGGAATGTTCTAAAGAGTATGTTAGAGTGGGTCAGGAAACAAAATGCTCCTTATCTGTTGTACCTGACCCACTTTAATCATAACAAAAAAGCAGGATTTAGGAAATGGGAGGAAGCCACCAGATGATACAATTTCTTCCCAGAGTACCTGTGTTTGGTTTTTGTGAGGCTGTTAAATGTAGTTAAAATAATAGTCTAAATCCATTCTCTGTGGGTTCTATACATAGGAGCCATTTAGAAGGAATTAAATTGTGTCTGTTAAATTCCAAAAATGTAATAGAACATTTGACAAATGTTTTTGTTGTTTTCTGATACAAAATATAAACATTATTTGTTTTTGTGTCTTGCTTTTTTTCAGGCAAGTCTTTCCATATGGGGATGGGGAAGCCTTGGTGTTGTGCTTTTTCTAGTAACATTTGGACCATTTGCTATATTTTATTTTGCATTTTATATCCTCTGCTTTGTGGGTGGGTAAGTATATCAATTGTATGTTTGATCTACATAAAGAAGGCATTAACATTAGTAACAAAGTGCTGCATTTGAACTAATTTGGGGAGGGCTTAAAAAGGAAAAAAACCTCAACAGGAAGAGATAGTATTCAGCAGAGCATATTAAATAGGTGCCTAGCATTTTGGTCTATGCAAAGACTGCTAAGTATTAAGATTCCCCCTGCAATCACTGTATCTGCTTGGTAATATTATTAATTCCTTTTGCTCATTTTGTTCGTTCTTGTCATTTTTAAAAAAATGAATTCATTGTATTTGGGTATTATTGATGGAGCATTGTTATCCATTACATTTAAAATATTTAATTGAACTTGTCTGTGTTGAGGCTTGAACTTCAGAGTTTGGATAAGGACATTTAATAATAAAGGAACTGTAAAACATGTAGACCATAAATTAACCCAATAGATTTATATGTAAGAGAATAATCCTGCCACTGTGTGTGTGGAGCAAGGGGTGATATCCTCTTCTATTCTGCTAACTTTATTGGCCAGGAAAGGAGATAGGGCATATTTTCTCACCTCCTGAAGAATTAATTTCATCTGCTCTAAATAGTTTCTAGCACTCTTTAGGAGCATATTGAGGCAGTATGGGCAGAAGAAGAAATATTGAGATAAAGGAATGAGAGAGATAGCCTAACAGCTGGGAAGAAGAAGGAAATAAGAGATAGGGAATAGAGTTAAGCTAGAGGATAGACAGGAGTGAAAAATAGCAAGGTAAAGAAATGGGTAGAGTGTGGGAACAAGCCAAAGAATTGATGCTAGGAGGCAGAGAAGTAGCAAAGCTAGGGACTGGGATTCAAGGGGAAATAGCAATTCAAATGGGTATAGAGGAGAGAAAGAGATAGTAAGGAAAGAAGTAGTAAAGTTATACTTACTAGGATAGTAAGGAAAGAAGTAGTAAAGTTATACACTGGGAGAAGAGAAAAAGAGAAAAGGCCTGTTTGTAGAGGAAACTCGGTGGGGCTGAAAGAAATTCATCCCTTCCTGTCTAGCAAAAAGCTGATCAGGAGCAGGTTCAGGAACAGGAAGGATAATCTGTTTCTTTTTTTAAATAACAGCCCATTTTTGAAGGGAGCAAGAAATACAGTGCTTTACAGATGCTGGTAGAGGTCCCTGCAAATGCCACATTAGAGACCTCTGCTTACATCTGTATGGAAACCCCACATAAATAACTTCTGACTTGTAGTTTTATCTATCCCTCTACAATAGATTTCATGTTATCAATATTGTTACTCTACCTCTCTCTTTGCATTATTATTGTGTTAAATTTTGGTTTGTATATTAAACGGAATTAACAGTCTATAGTTTTTCTACTCACAATGGACAAATAATTCTAAACACCCTAAGAAGCAAAATGTGCTTGTTTAAAAGGGTTCTTTGAGTATAGCAAAACTATGCATTTAGCTTTGAATATAAAAAGATAAAAAGATGACAATGATATCCTGTTCTAGCTTTTAGCTCTTATTTAGAGTAATAGTACTGCACAATCTTATGTATGTTTGGAGTAAAAAAAAAGTCCAGCTCCTTCCTACATTCTTCAGCAAGTAGTACTAGCTAAGCAGTAATTGTTTTGTGAATAGGATCATATTGCAAGTCAAGAATATGTCTCAGCCTTTAAAAGTTACAATATATTTTCATTCTTCTAGGGGCTTTGTGGTAACACTCTTGTTTGGAAAAACCAATTCAGAAAAGTACCTCGAACAATGTGAACACTCCTTTCTTCCTCCAACACCATTTGGAATTACTAAGGTAAGCAAGATGCAAAACTTGTATGGACAGGTATAAACACTTGGAATGGAACAATACATGAAATGTCTAAATACATTTGGACTTTATTTCTGATATAGTATTTTAAGTATGTATTCTGAAAATTAGCCTCAAAGTGTGTCCTTGTTATCAATTATGGCAGGAGCACTACCTCAAACCTTTCACTTTTAGGTTCTGCTCCTTCAGTTTAAGTTATTTGGGTCTTTATAATCTTAACCTGGAAGCAAATGTTGTGTTTTAAGTAGTTGATAGAAACCTGCAGTGTTTTCTGTAAGTTGTCCATAACTGCAAAGACAAAGCGCAAGCAACATGGAACTATTTCTGATGGAGTTCTTAGTTTTGAATCTTGTTTATTTGATCTTCATTCAAAAGATAGATTAAAAATTGTTGCCTATTTCTATGTAAATTTACTTCAGTTATGCATTATTAGTTAAGAGTTAGCTTTCTCTAGTGGGATTTAGATTACTTCTGAATGTAATAGTGACCCCCATCCCTTAGTCATATCAAAAAATATGTTTGTTTGATAAAGCAGGAGAAAAACATGAAAAGCCCCCTGTGTGTAAGATAGCTATAACTGGTATATTTTTCACTGAACCATTTAAGCATAAATGTGGATCAGAATTTTATTTTCTGTGAATTATACTGTGAAGTAAACCTGTGAACTAATCAAGTCCAATTTCTCCCACTGAAGTGCATAGAAGAAATGAAACAGGAAAGCAAGCCTATTAAGATTGATAGAAGGCTAACTGGTGCCTATATAATCGATGAACCTCTGCAACAAGTGAGTATTAATTTTTAAATAGACTGTAGCAACAATATTCTGTGACCTTTATTATTTTATTTATTTATTTATTTATTTATTTAAAAATTTCTATGCTGCCCCATTCGCCGAAGCCTCGGGGCGGCTTACAAAAGATCAGTTAAAATATAAAACACTAGAAATATAAAACACATTAACATTATAAAATAAGTCGCCCTGGCTGAAGAATTAAGCAAATAATATTAGCAATTAAACTGTCGTTTGAATAAAAAGGTCTTCGCCTGGCACCAAAAAACAAATAACGATGGTACCAGGCGGACCTCTCTGAGGAGCGCATTCCATAGATTGGGCGCCACCGCTGAGAAAGCCCTCCTCCAAGTACCTACCCTCCTAATTTCCTTCACAGAGGGTTCCCGGAGAAGGGCCTCTCCTGCAGATCTCAGGGGGCGGGCGGGCGTATATGGACGTAAGCGCTCCTTCAGGTAGCCAGGACCCAAGCCGTTTAGGGCTTTATAGGTCATCATCAACACCTTGAATTGGGCCCGGACTTCAGTGGAAAGCCAGTGAAGCTGACGGAGGACTGGAGTCATGTGAACATAATGCCCAGTCCCCGTCAGCAACCTGGCAGCTCTATTTTGAACCAGTTGAAGTATCCAGACCGTCTTCAAGGGTAGCCCCACATAAAGCGCGTTACAGAAGTCAAGTCGGGAAGTCACCAAAGCGTGTGTCACTGTCGCCAGGCAGTCGTACTCCAGGTAGGGGCGCAGCTGATGGATCATTCGAAGCTGAAGGAAAGCGCTTCTCGCCACTGCTGTCACCTGAGCTTCCAATGAAAGCTCTGGGTCGAGGAGCACTCCCAAGCTGTGGACCTTGTCCCTAAGAGGGAGTGCAACCCCATTCAGGACAAGGTTCAATTCACCCTCTCCAAAGCCCGATCCGCCAACCAACAGGACCTCCGTCTTGTCTGGATTGAGCTTCAGTTTATTGGCCCTCATCCAGCCCATTACCTCGGCCAGGCACCAGTTCAGCACAGCCACTGCCTCACCTGGATTGGTGGAAAACGAGAGGTAGAGCTGGGTATCATCAGTGTACTGATGATTCCGCAGCCCACACCTCCTGACAACCTCTCCCAGCGGTTTCATGTAGATGTTAAACAGCAAAGGGGACAAAATGGACCCCTGCGGTACTCCATAGCATAGCTGCCATAGCGCAGAGCCATAGTCCCCCAGCACCACCTTCTGGAATCGGTTATTGAGGTAGTAGCGGAACCACTGCAAAGCAGTGCCTCTGACCCCCAATCCCGTCAGCCTATCCAGAAGGATACCATGGTCGATGGTATCGAAAGCCGCTGAGAGGTCCAGAAGAACCAACAGGGACGCACTCCCCCTGTCCTTCTCCCTGCACAAGTCATTGTACAGGGCGACCAAGGCAGATTCAGTACCGTACCCGGGTCTGAAGCCGGACTGAAATGGGTCCAGATAATCCGTTTCATCCAAGAGAGCTTGGAGTTGTCCCGCCACCACCCGCTCCAACACCTTGCCCGGAAACGGGAGGTTGGCCACTGGTCTATAATTAGTGGCCATCTCTGGATCCAGTGACGCCTTCTTCAGGACTGGTCGGACTACCGCCTCCTTTAAAAGGGGCAGGCACCTGACCCTCCCTCAGAGAGGCGTTAACCACTTCCAAGATCCAGATCCCAATCCCGTGCTTGAAATTATTTATTAACCAAGATGGGCAAGGGTCGAATAGGCAAGTGGTGGGACGTACTTGTCCAAGCACCTTGTCCACATCATCAGGCCGCAATAACTGAAATTCATCCATTAATTTTGGACCAGACGGCAGCATTGGTGTCTCCCGAGAAACCTCTGAGTCACTAGTAGAGTCTAGCTCGTGACGAATCTGAACGATTTTCTCCCTGAAATGCTTGGCAAAGTCGTCGCAGCAGGCCTTCGAGGGAGGAACCAGATCTTTCTTAGGACCTGGACAAACCAGGCCTTGCACCACTCGAAAAAGCTCCGCCGGATGGCATTTTGAGGAGGCAATGGAAACGGAAAAGAAATTCTTTTTCGCCGCCCTCACCGCCACAGCATAGGCCCGATAATGGGCTCTCAAGTGTGTTCGGTCAGATTCATCCCTAATCTTACTTAAGAATTATGTTTTGTGGAAGACTAATCCAGATGCTAAATGTTAGAACTTCCAAACTGATATACCTCAGGTCCACACATATTTCCAGTCCATGTCATCATGCAACTCAAGTCAAGAATGTATTCAACTATACCACAATTATTTTGGTATGATTTATCTCACATTTTCCAAACAAGATGCTAACAGGGACTGCCTAGCACGGTCATGTTGGGCTAGTACTTTCTCATCTGTACTGGCTGTTATTCCATATCTGGGCCTGATTCAGAATGCTTGTATTAACATTCAGACCACTAAATTTGGTCCAGGTTGCCTGAAGGATTGTCTCCTCCTGTGCATATCTGCTAGAACCCCTGGCAAGGGAAATAGGTGGGTGACTACTAAAACGTCCTTTTCAGTTGTGATAGTCCTGCTGTGGAAATAATTTGCCAGAGAACTGGCATCTACAGGTTCTTCTTTCAGTGCTAGGTAAATTATTTTTCCAGGAATTTTAGTTTCATTTGTTCTAAATCCTGTATTGTATTTTAATTTTTTTACTGCTGCATGCCTCATTCTGATTTTTTACTTCTGTTTATACAGTAGTTTTAACCATAGTTGTATACTGTATTTTATGTTATATATGATGTTTTTAAATTGCTTGAAATTGTTCTGAACCACCCCTAGAACGTCAGCTCTTAAGTATTAAATGCAAAAATAAATAATTAAAAAATAAATTAGTACACATACTTAGTACCTTTATTAAGCCACCTTTGTCACATATAGTAACCCATGTATGTGTATCAATTGATGATCATTAGCAGAGAGATTTTTTAAAGTTTGTACTCTCCAGAATCTTTCCAAGTTCCTTGCTGTAGGACCATTTTCTGTAGGAATATCATTTCATGGAAGATAACACTGTCAGTGGGTAGTAATAATGAAGGTTGTATGCTACCTTCAGTTTTAAAGGCAGTATGTCTTTCTATATCAGGTGCTAAGTAACAGGACATGAAGGGTCATGTTGCATTCATGTTTTATTTGTGGGTTTTCCAGAGGCAGCTAGTGGTCACCAAGTGAACAAGTGTTGGATCAGATAAGCTCTTAGTGCTTCATCATGACCCTGTTATTACCAAAGGGTAGCAATAGTGGCAGCTGTCATACACATACCTCCCTCTCCAGTCTTTCTCACTGCAATACTTCTTTGTTTCTATTATCTGCTATTATACTATACATCCAGCAACTTTCCAGATAAAACTATTCGGTGAACTGTCTGGACACCTTGGCAACACATTGGTGCTGGTGTTTTTAGCAGAAAGAGAAGACTGTGACTGTTCTTTGTGTTACAGTCTTGACCATGTACATAGTTAATCCAAAGAACCAGAACCAGATAGCACAGACCAGCAAGACTTCCAAGCAAAGTATAGAACTGAATGGCTGTTTCCTCAATTTAAGTACCCATGTCACTACTTCTGGCTGTTATTATACTAGCTCTTGGAATTTAAGAAATCAAGCTTGCTGAATCTGTGGTCACCAAAGGGTAGATATTTTATGTAGTCATACTTTGAAAGGACAAAAGGACAGATTTCCCTGAGGAAATGTACCATTAGCTGCTAAGGCTTAAGAGAACAAAGAACGTTGCAGGTCTTATTTTTCCCCCACCACCACCTAGGCAAGTGTCTGTACTTTTAGAGCAGAGCCCTTTAGTGGGAATAAGATACATTTTAACTCTTCTGCTCATTGCACAATAATAATACCTTGATAGTCAAAAACTGCTATTTAGTATCTTCTACTTGTATTAATACAGTGGTACCTTGGCTCATGAATGCCTTGGTTCATGAACAAATCGGGTCACAAACTAAAAATTTCTGAAAAATTTTGACTTGGGTCGTGAACACCACTTTGGGTGGAAATCAAGATCGCAGCCATCTGCCTCCCCCCCGAGTGGGGAGATGGCCATGATCCCAGTTGCTTTCGTGCAGGGAAGGCATGCGTGATCAAATTTAACTTGGCTCATGACCAATTTGGGTCACGACCAGAGTCCTGGAATGGATTAAGCTTGTGAGCCAAGGTACCACTATATGTCCTTTGTGCTGCAGAGTCTGCTTTTGCTTGTGTTGAACTTGATGGTAGACTATAAGATGTTGGTGATAGTTTGCAGTTTTCAGCATGGACAAGCAAGAATCTTGAGCTAGTGTGTTTATCCCTTTCTTAGTATGGGTCAAACATACATTAGAAAGGTATATTCCTACAATCTATAGCTTGTCTTTTCATTCTGGTTGTAATAAAGCAAGTTTCCAGGCAATGGTTCAGACTAAATATGAAACTATGATTGGTTGCCAATCAGAAATGAAACTTTCTCAAGAAAGCAAGTTGAGTTGATGAGAAGAGGAAACAGGTGGAGGTTTCTCAGAGGTGTCTGCTGGCACATATCTGTAATGGTAAATCATGGTTTGCTGTTATGTCTGATGCTTTCAGAATTTACAAGGTGTATAATTACATTGAGAAAAAAATATTTCTATAGCATCCTTTTTTAACTTGTTATGTTAGCTCAAGAAAACTTGCATAGTAATATGTGGGGCAGGTGAATTTGCCTTAGGGCACAAGATTGGATTATGCTTTTCCTTGCTGTTGTGAAATGTATAAATACATAAAGCTCTGTGCTGTTAATGAAAGCTTAACCCCTTACATAATCACTTAATTCTAAGATCTGTGGAATTAAGATCAAGGCAAAATGGTCTCATGATGATAAACTGTAAGATTTAGAAATACTTTTTATGACATAAGTATGTCACAACTAACTATGCCTGGTGTTTACTGTCAAGTAAACTAAGTCTAGGGAACAGGATCAGAAAATGTATCACATTCATTGGCTCCTGTTCAGCTTCTGAACCTTCATTACATTGTCAAATGCAGTTATTTGAAAAAATGAAAATAGTTTTCAACATAGATCTCATTCAGGCGTATAGTGAACCAGGGTTTCAGGGAGTGTGCTTGTGGAGTCATTCAAATCCTTCTGCCCTTTATCATGCATGTGAACCCCCTGACCCAGATCTATACTACCATGTCTTAATGTTAGATGTGACTTCAGCCATCTGACTTAAAACTGGACTTGTGTGTTTGGGCCTACAAGTCCCTGTTATTAGCCCAAGTGCCACGATCGGTATGATCTTCAACTTCTAAGAAGTCTCCAAGGGCAGTCCCATGTAGAATGCATTGCAGTAATCTAACTGGGAGATTACCAGAGCATACATTACTGAAGCCAGGGTGTCCCTGTCCATTTAGGGCTATAGCTGGACTACCAGGCAAAATTGGTAACATTCTGAACCATTGAGGCTACTGAGGCTCAAATAACAAAGATGGATTGAGGAGACCCCCCCCCCCCCGCCACTACAAACCTGCTCCTTCAGGGAGAGTGCAACCCCATCTAGAATAGATTGAACACTGGCCATCCAGTCAGAGAAAGCACCCATAAGTAGCTTCTCAGTCTTGCTTGAATTGAGCTTCACTTTGCTAGCTCACTTTCAATCCATTGTTGCAGCCAGACACCAGTTTAGCACATCCACCACCTCACCTGCTCATGATGAAAAGGTGAAATTAGATCTGCATATCCTCAGCATGCTGATGACAACACACTCCAAAATTCCCGTTCCTTCTGTAACCTCTAGTGCCATCTCGCTTTTTCTGCCAGCAAGATTATTCCATTGGATTAAAGCCTGTTGAGGGAAGGAGCTCCAGGAGATGCAAAGCCTGGGTTCAAGCTATTATTGGTGATGATGAATAATTGCAAGTCTATAATTGGACACCTATACACATCCAGGATTGTGATAACTATTTTTAGGTAGCATATGTACAACACAATACCTTTCTTGATAGGATTTTTAGCCACCAGAAGCATTTGCTAGAAATTACTGTTGCAATGTTTTTTTACCTGCACATCTGTGGAAAGAATTACCTGTTTCCTACGTTTTAATATTTATATATTTTGAAACAATTTTAGGTTATCCAGTTTTCCTTGCGTGACTATGTCCAGTATTGGTATTATACACTAAGTGATGATGAATCTTTTCTTCTTGAGATAAGACAGGCGCTCCAAAATGTTCTTATTCAATTTTCTTCTAGGTAAGAGTTTTCTGTATCAACAATTACAAATGTCCATAAATGTTACTTACAGGATACAAATTTACATTCATTAAAAATATGCCATGTCACAAAAACTTGCCACAAGTATTTCATATTTTGTAGCCCATTAGTCACACCATTGTGTCTTTTTGAAAGAAGGGAATATATCCTAAGGAATAAAAAATCAGTCTAAGATACATATAAGTAATTGATTTTTTTCATGATAACAACTGTGGAGAGTTTGCCTTGATCAAATTGTCAAGGAGAAGTTAATCTGATTTATTTCAATTACTTTAGTTAGGAAATTGCTTTTTTGGGCTCAGTGGCTATGGGTTGGGATAGAAAGCCATTGGAAATGATAAACATACTTAATGTTGAAATTAAGATTAATTCTACTATCTTATTACAATGAAATATTGCTGTGGAATATTATCCTATGTTTCCAAGTAACTAATGATCCAGTTTACATGATTCACCATGGGCAGCCACACACAATGGGTTGTTGGATTGTAGGAATCCAGGGTACTTTCTGAGTGACTGAAATGAGTTGTGTTGCTTGAAGCTGGGAGACTGTTTTTATTGTGGCAGCTGGCTGCAAAGCTGCTCAGTATGAGCAGGATGATATCTTTCCTTTGGTAATGTGCTTCTCTCACTTTTAAAAAAGCCAGTGTGGTGTAGCAGCTAACAGCATGGGTCTGTGACTCAGGCAATCTGGGTTGTAGTTCCTGTTCAGTCATGGAGTCTATTGGGTGATTTTGGACTAATCACACACTGGCAGCCCAACCTACCTCACAGAGTTGTTGTTACAGGATAAGCTTGAGAGCAGAAGAAAGAGAATGATGTAAGCTGCTTTGAGTTCTTTAAAAGAAAATTGGTGGGATATAAATAAGTACTAAGCAATACTTCTCATTATCCCTACCTTTCCATAGTACCAATTCTCCAACTACTCCAGAAAGGAAATATATTAAGTCTTCCTCTTCTTCTCTGCTTCTTTTCAGAGCACCTTAGTGCTGTGATTTTGTTGAAGAGCTCAAAGTTCAGAAAGTTGCGTCATCAGTTGAACGATCTGAGGCACTGAAAATAAAATAATTATTTTATACAGGAAACAAAAAGGGGTAGTGAAAGAAGCAGAGAGGTGGAGACAAAACGAATTTTGGTGAATAATATGGTCGGATATGTGCCAGAGCTGATAGGAGGACTGAAGGGAAAAGAGGCAGAGAACAAGTCACAGTGAGCCAAATTGTATGTTAAGTACACCAGGGGTTGTTGCATATCCACTCATTGTATTATTGACTTCTACTCATATGAAATAGCTTCACTGTTTGGTTTCACAAGTAGGAAGGAATTGAGTACATTTTTAAAATACTATTTTAAGATAACTGTACTTAGCTCCCAGTGAAAGCAATAGGACTTATTTTTCACTTTGATTTCATGGGAACTACATGCAGCTAATTAATCTGTATCAAACCTCATGTGGGAATGCTTGATTTTACAATGATTTTACTGTATAGAACTGTAAAAACAATAGTGTGACAGAATTCTATTAACATAGTATTTGCTTGTAGGTTAGTTAGGCTGTTCACCAGATGTCACAGACACTTCAGAAACTCTGATGCTGAGGGGTTTGGGTTGGTGTTTGGATAGGGTTTTGTATTTTGTCTTAGAACCTGAAGAATCAGAGGCAGCACACCTATGGTTGCTGCAAAACATGAAAGGGAGAATGCTATTGCACTCAAGTCCTACTTGTTGGTTTCCAACAGTGAGAAAATCTGCCACTGTGTAAATAGAATAATGAACTAAATGAACCTTTGGTCTGATCCTGCATGGCTCTTATGTTCTTATGTGTTCAGCAAACATTTTATGTAAGGTTGCCATCTAGTGTTCTGTTTTAGTATGTGCTGCTAGGTAACTTGCCTTTTTTCCTTCAAGGAATTCAAGGCATCTTGCATGATCCTCCTCCTCCTCCTCTCCATTTTATCCTCACAACAACCAAGTTGGGCTGAGAATCAGTGTCTGGCCCAAATTCACTCAGTATGCTTCATGGCTAAATGGGAAATGGAACCCAGATCTTACATATTCCAGTCCAATATTCTAGCCACTACATTGCCCTGTCTCAATCTTGTGTTTAAGATTGAAAGCAAAATTCCTTCGTAAGATTTTGTTAATGTAATATTTCTTTACTTTGAAAGATCAAAAGAAATAGATTGGCAGCCTTATTTTACCACCCGACTTGTAGATGATTTTGCCACTCATCTTAGAGTATTCAGAAAAGCTCAGCAAAGGATAACTGAAAAAGATGATCCAAGTAAAGGTAAAAGATACTATTGATTTTTGTGTAATAAACAAAATGATGGTTTTGACTGTTTTACTACTGTTTTCCAGTAGATTCAGCTACCTTTTTCTTGTATACCAGAGCATTAGCTTCCTCAAGTGGTTATATTATCTATGCCTACAGGTCATTAAATACAAGAATCCATTTTCCCCCAAGAAGCCACTTTTCCTTAAAGTCAGAAAAGGTTCTTGGGATTTTAGAGGTTGTTGTAATAGAGAGCTGAATAAGGAATTCTCCTTTTATAAGTATGACATTGGATGACATGCTTGTCTTAATGAACAAAAACCACTGTCCAGAAATAGACGCATTTCTGTGGAAAGCTCTTTTATCTCAAGTACCAATTAGAGTGGTCATAGCTGCAGCTTAATTGAATAGATCAGGTGAATCATTACAGCAATTTGATCTTCTCATGATTTACTGTTGAAAGAAGCAGAGTACTTAAGCTGTTTCTGTCCCTTGGTTTTGCCCTAGAAGCATCTGTAATTATAGTGGAAGTACACATAAACATACAGCTAGATTTTCATTGTTAAATGCATAGCTTGGCACACATGGGGAAAAAAGAATTAAATTACTAGAGATAAGTACAAATTGTACAGAAGTATAATAATGAGCATAGATGTTATGGAAGATGGATTTTAGTGGAATTATAACAGTATGTGTAAAAGCAGACCTAACTATTTCAGTGTACACTTATTTTAATTGTTAATTTATTTATTTAACTAGGTTTTTTAAAAAAAATTCTTAGCCGAGAATGCACTGAGGTTTTATTGCACTGGGGTTTTATTGTATTGTTATTTATTGATGTTTTGTGAGCCGCCCCGAGGCTTTATTGCAATGGGGCGGCATAGAAATGTTTTAAATAAATAAATAAATCCATTTAAGGTTTCCAATATCTGTTTAGATGGAGCAGAAGATCTTGTAGATACATTTTTTGAAGTTGAAGTTGAAATGGAGGAGAATGTCTGTCGTGATCTAATCTGCACATCTCCCAAAGATGAAGAAGGTTTTTTTTCCACTTACTTTCTTTAGATATGCTGTGAATAAGTTGTCCAGTGACCCATCTCCTGGAAATAACCTGAAATTTCTAGACGTAATGTTCAATAAGTATTTTTACTTCATAGGTTTTTCACTGAAATATTTTATTAATCTGTCAAAGGAGGAATATATTTATAATAATAAAACTTACGTTTATATTGATTTAGAAATGGGAACTTGAAAGATTGTGCAGGAGGTATTACAAATTCAGAATGTAATTTGGACGTGCATATAAAGTATGTATTTCTAGAAGATTATTGCCAACAGTTAGTTTGTTGGATTTTATCGTCATCCTCAAATTATGGTAGTATTTGTTGCAGTATATAAAGGTACTGTTACATTTTTAAATATTAAAAATAAATACATTTAACTGTATTTTATTTTGTTATATATTTTATATCATGCCTTTTAGGATTCCTAAGGGATCTGTGTGAAGTTTTACTGTATTTATTGCTACCTCCTGGAGACTTCCAGAACAAGATCATGAGATATTTTGTCAGGGTAAATTTCATTTCATATTCCAAGATTTGCATGATTTTTGTATAATAAGGAATTATATTTCCAGGTCTCTCCAATAATTAAAATTCTTTAATTTCCCTTGTTCAGTTGTCCAATTAATTGTGTCTTTGTTTTTAATTTAGTAATAATGTAATCTGCTAAATATTAATGCATATTATAAAATAGTTAATCAAAATTAGAATGCAGTCTGCTACTAAGTGCCCATGTTGAAGGATTCTCATTGCATGCTGAAGCCTAGTTGCTCTACTGCTTGCATATATGCATGGCTATCAGCATTGTGATGGCCTGTTATGTAGTGTGCTCCCTGTTAAGGTGAAAGGTGGTTGGAGGGGATTTGGGGAGTTGTGCACAGATCAATTCCTTGTAAATGCTTCTTGTACTGTCCATGTATGTGTGTGTGAGTTAGTGGTAACCTGTTGAGCTTATGGGGATCCTCTGGGTGCACCTACTGTACTTCTAGTAAATTGCATCATGACCCTTGCATGAAAACACTTCAGAACCTTTTCTGAAGGAAGAAAACATTTAAATTGTATATAATAACATGGTCATTAATTCTAATCACCTGTTGTAAATATGATCTGTCTAGTTAGCAACTATGTATATTATATACAAGAAATGTTACTCATATTTTTCTGTTTAAAATATAACAGCTTTGTGTTGATGAGCAGTGAGCATTTTCCTATTTTTAAATTAGTGTATACCTTTGTATAGGATTTTGAGACACGCCTCTTATTGTTGTCTTGCATTTGTTCTTCAGACCAGGAGAGAAAGTAATCTTTAACTTGTATATTAATCATATTTTGCATGGAAAAGTTTGTTCTGGAATACCAACATAGTTGCATTTTCTTCAGAGTCCCATGTCCTGGAGCATTTGCTTGTCAGCCCTACCAATAAATTGTGGGATGGAAGAATTTGTACTTGTGACTGAAGCTTGATTGCATGGATCAGTAAAGTGTAGGATGATAGCTTTAGAAATATCTGTCTGTCTGAGAAAATACTCCTTCTCTCCTTTAAATATTCAAGCCTAGGAGGGACCTTGAAGAACTTACAGTATTTGCAGAACTTCTCTTGCTTTCCATTTGAGTATAACATGGATGCTGTTATAAGGCTAGAAGTATCAAGTTCTGAAAAGTTCCCACTCTTCTGTTGTGTTGAGCAACTAAACTACAACTGGCACTTTTCTTCCTTGCCTTTGCTAACACTTACTGACTGCTTTGCAACTGCCACTGGTTTGATGTTAGATAGCTTTCCTACCTCTAATTCTCCACCAACTCCCACTTTAATTTCTTTTCTCAGCCCCAACTGTTCTTATGATATACTACCCACTCATTCAACTCAGGAAGACTGCTAATTCTTCATATAACAGCCCCTTAAGTTGTCAAAATTCTGTTTTGATGTCAGACACCAAAATTGGATTTTATAAACCAGTCACTGATATGCATGCTGACTAAGAAGTATTGAGTGGATTGAATGGGACTTAACTGTTTTTTATTATGTGTATGAAAGCAGCCTTAATGTTTTTATTCATTATAAAGTATAAAAAATGAATATAACTGATAAATAATAATTAGTAACATTATGTTTTATAATAGTGGGATTGCAGCCATTATTGATTGAGAGTGAATACAGTAACTACAGAGCAGTATCTGTTAGAATATTTCATACCTAGCTATATTTTTAAATATTGTGAAACCTAATGCTTATTTATTTATTTATTTATTGGCTTTCTAACCTGTCCCATTAGTGGGTTACAACAATAAAACTATACACACAATATAAAATATGATCACAAATTACAATAAAACAATAAGACAATAAAATAATAAAAATGTGCCCACTGACAGAACCAATAATTTCATAAAAAGGCATACCACATTGTTGAAATGCCATTAAAAACAAACTAAAAATTAAAATACTGTTGAAATAAAAAGGTCCTTGCATGGCACCAAAAGTATACAAAGAGGGCACCAGGTGAACCTCTCTGGGGAGTTTGCTCCAGAGTCAGGGTGCCATTCCGGAAAAGACAATTCTTTCTCCTTATTCCCTGAGGAGGGTGCTATTTTAGAAGGATCTTAGATAAGAATCTAAGGTGCTGGGTAGGTACATATGGGAAGAGGTGCTCCTTTAGATACTCTCATCCCAAACCCTCATCCCAAACCCTTTAGGACTTTAAACACTAGTGCTGACACCTTGAATTGGGTCCAGACCTCAACTGGAAGCCAATGAAGAAGGTAGCCAGTGAAGATGGTAGAGGACTGGCTTTATATGATCATATCTGCCAGTTCTCATTAGCAGTCTAGCTGCCCTACTTGGGACCAATTGATGTTTCCAGACCATCTTCAAGGGAAGCCCCACATAAAGTGCATTGCAATAATCCAGGTGAGAGATTACCAGTGCATGGATAACTGTTGCCAGATCGCATCTGCCCAAATAGGGCTGCAGCTGATATACCAGCTTGAGCTGATAGAAGGTGCTCCTGGCCACCAAATCCACCTGAAATCTCAGGGATAATTCAAGAGGACCTCCAAGCTGCAAACCCAGTTATTTAGGTGGAGTTTGACTCTATCCAGAACAATCTGAATGGATGCACTCCTCACCAACAGTATCTCCATATTATCTGGATTGAGTTTCAGTTTATTAGGCATAATCCAATCTATTATTTAGGCCAGACCTCAATTCAGAACATCCACTGCCACTTCTGCATCTGATGAAAAAGAAAGGTATTGCTGAGTGTCATCAGGATACTGATGACAACTCAGCCCATATCTTCTGATGACTTCACCCAATGGTTTTATGTAGATATTAAAGAGCATGGGGGTTCAAATAGAGCCCTGAGAAACTCTATGGCATAAATGTCATGGTATAGAACAGTAATCCCCCAGCACTACTTTCTGGCTATGACCAGTCAAGTAGGAACAGAACCACTGCAAAGCAGTTTCCCCTACTCCCAACTTGATCAACCTGTCCAGGATACCATGGTCAATGGTATTGAAAACTGCTGAGATGCCCAGGAAACCAGGATCCTACTCCCCCTGTCTTTCTCCCAGCATAGAGCAACCAAGGCAGTTTCCTTTCCAAACCAGGTCTCAGTCCCAAATGAAATTGGTCCATTTTATCCAAGATGCTCCATTTCATCCAAGAGTGACTGGAGTTCACCAGCTACCACCCACTCTTACAGTTTATTTTTAACAGGAATATTAGCGACTGGTTCACATCCTTGTCCACATCCTCAGGCCTCAAAAACTGAAACTCATACAATAAATGATTTACCTATTGTTTTTATGCTATAACTGTGCACGAGCTTACTATTCTTCTTTATGAGAGTTAGGAGCTTAGGAAGCTGCCTTATAATTAGTCAGACCACTGATTTATCTAGCCCAGTATTGCTGACACTTACTGGCAGCAGTTCTCCAGGCTGCTTGAGATCAAATGTGGCACCATCTGCATGTAAAACACTTACAGTATCACTGAACTACTATTCTGCATGTTGTTAAATAGGTTTACTTTGGAGCCCTTTTCACTCCTATCCTCCAAATAATTATACCCTCATAGAAGAAGAAAATGGCTGGACCTGCTACCCTTACCTTTGCCTTCACATCCCCTGCTATCCACATGTTCGGGAAATGTCTGTAATGACAAAGCTTGTTGAAAGTCTATAGGCGCACTCTGCTCTGGATCACACACTGTTCGAGAGTCAGGGAGAGTTTACACACATTCAGGAGGCTTTCCTGTCCAGAAATACCCAACATGTGGACAGTGGGAGTAGGATATAACTCTCCTAGAGGAGGTGGGACCAGTGAGTATGGTGCTTTCTCTTTCCACTTAATTTTTATGTTCAGATGGAGGATAGCCAGGGTAAAGGGATTTGGTCTAGTTACATTCTTTGAATCTTGATATAGTTTGGTGTGATTATATTTTTGGCAGATTGAGTAAGGATAGAAATACAGGTTTAGGAACTTGACATCTACTTTGCTAGAAAAACTCTAGAATGTTATTTTATGGGATTGTTTTCAAGGAATATGAAAAAGGAAGTTCTTTTTATCTGATTTGTTTACAACTTTTTAGCTTTAGTTTGAAACCTAGTTCAAATTTATATTTGAAAGAAAGAAATTATGAACAAGGACATATGTAATTGTATTTTGAATTTTTTTTCAGGAAATCCTTGCTCAAGGAATTCTTCTTCCATTAATAAATCAGCTCAGTGATCCTGATTATATTAATCAGTATTTCATATGGATGGTAAGCTTTTTAAACTAGAGCTAGATAGCATCTTCATTGTAATTAATTGCCTGTGCACACAGTTTTCACACCTTTTTTCAGTATACTGTAATAATAACATATATTGCAGAAATGAATAGTGATGCTAATCTCTTCATCATAACCCTTTACTAGGGGTGTTCATTGGATTTGGTTGAAGCCTGAGCTGAACTGGGACTCTTTGCACCATTGTTGCTCCTACCTGAAGTGAAATGAGCTTCCCCCTGAAGCAGCCAGAACTGAAGTTTAACCCTCATAAGGGATTATTACCTAGTTGTGCTTTGGAGATGCAGACATTAAGCTTCCTTCCCTAGTAGCATCTTTATATTTTGTTTCTCTATAAACACTAATGCTGGGGTGTCAGGAGGGAGGAATGTGGTTGTATAACTGAGAAATCCACTGTCTAATTTTACATTTTATTTGGAGCTCCAATATCTGTGCTTTTGTGGAAAACAAAGATGGGATCATGACTGGACAATATTTAAATACCATCAAGGTTCTTTATTTTAAAAGCCTTCAGCTGGTTTTCAGTTAATATAACTTTTTAGCATGTGTATGTATCCTTCTGAAACTTAGCAGAGGGCAAGTCTAAAATGTCTCTGACCGACCCGCATGACCTATGCCTCCTCTGCCTGAGGGAGGGGCATAGGACTGATAAATGCTCTCACTGCCTGACCTTCTCTAAGCAGCCCAGGAAAAACAGTGAGAATCGCCTCTGGAGGCTCTTGTGGGACCAGGCTCTCATGCAGTCCGACCTGCTCGTTGCTGCTCCGAAGCCTGGCTCCGCTTCAGTGGCTCCACCCTCACGTCCTTCGGACGAATGCACATCTGCCATGGTGGTTCCACCTGTTTCTCCCAAGAAAAAGCACGAGAAGCGCAAGCATGCTGAACCCAACAAATCGGCAGGCCATAAGAAGGCCATGAAGGAGAAGGCTCCTAAACCTTCAAATAAATTGAAGGGTCCGGAGCGTCCTCGACACCGAGACTCGGATTCGACAGCCCCCTCGGTACCGGCAGCACTTACCGTACCGACCCCACCCGATCCGGTGCTTCAGGCGGCTATGAGGGTTACCCCTCAAGGGTCCCCTCGCCGTGTGGCTGACCTTCCTGCTGGGCCACTTCCAACTCTACAAAGAGGCTCAATTTCTGATGGGGAAATTCAGGACTCCCCCACTAGGGCTAGGTCGCCCACACCTATGCCCACACCCACTCTGAAGGTGGATGTAGAGATGTCCCCGCCTAGGAGCCGGAGGAGTCGCTCCATGGAGCAGCGCTCTGACGGATGGCATCGCTCATACTATCAGACCTGGGACAATCTGCTATCCATCGGATACTATCCTGCTCCTAGGGGCAGTCTTCACCACCGTCCCGCGACCGACTGCAGTCCTCAGGCCCGAGGCGTGCATCCCCGCTACCTCCTCGGGATGGAAGTAGCCACTCCTTCTCCCTGGCGGAGTCCTCATCATCGGCTCCGCTGTATTATGGTGCTGACTCTGACGAATCGGAGGTCAATTCAGCCTCACCTGACATCTCTGTGATCTCCCAGGGCCCTGCGTCACCAGATGAATCGCATGTCTTCTTCGTGGAGCTGATGTCCCAGCTTGTCCAGTCCCTTGACATTGATGCCATCCAGCATCCGGGACCTACTACGGACAAGTTTTATGACGTCGTCCGTGGGGAGCAGTCCACATCGATAGTCCTGCAGCTGATCACCACCTTACGACAGGCGATGACGCAGCCCTGGGACTTGCCCTCTCACCCTCAACCCGTGTCTCGGAGGTATGAATCCATGTACCGGGTTCGGGAGGAGGATATCCCCTTCCTCCTCCACCACCCCAAGCCGAACTCGGTTGTGGTGGAGTCCTCCCAGGGCAGAGAGGTGAGAGGTCACACTGTGCCAAGGGATAAGGAGGGACGAAAGATCGACTCCCTGGCCAGGTGAGTCTACGCTGCCTCAGGCCTGGGGCTACGTATCTCCAACTACGAGGCGACGTTGGTGAGGTATCAACACTTCATAATGCAACGCCTCCACAACGTTGCCTCGACCCTCCCGGACCACCAGGGCGACCTGGCCAAGGTCCTCATCAAGGAGATGATGCAGGTTGCTGTCTATCAGTTGTCCACAGCCAGACACCATGTGGGCACAGACTCGAAGGCCTTGGTCAGTGCCGTTTCACTCCGGAGACACGCCTGGCTAAGAAATTGTAACTTTCTGGAGGAGACTAAATGTCGGATTGAGGAAATGCCCTTCGACGGGGCCAGGCTTTTTCACTCGCGCACCGACCACAAGTTAAAGAAACTACATGAATCCCGCATGACAGCACACAGGATGGAGCTACAGACCCAGATCAGGCGTAAGTGATCATGGACTCGTCCATCTTATAGGCAGTCCTACCAGCCTAGACAGCAGCCCCAGCACCAGCAGCAGCTGGTACTACTCAATGAAATACAACAACTTCTTCGTAAAGGAGCGATTCGTCAAGTAACCCCACCTGACGGACTCCACGGATTCTATTCCAGATATTTTACAGTCCCGAAGCGGGATGGTGGTCTACGTCCAATTTGGGACCTACGTAATCTGAATCAATTTATCATGACAAAAAAGTTTCGAATGACCACCCTTCAAAATATTTTGCCGCTGCTAGGGAAAGAGGATTGGTTCGCCTCATTGGACTTGAAGGACGCCTATTTCCACATTTCGATCCACCCGAGTTATAGGCGTTTCCTTCATTTTGCTGTTGTACCCCATTTCTACAAATTTACAGTTTTACCTTTTGGACTGGCCACTTCTCCGAGAGTGTTCACCAAATGTATGGCCCCTGTCTGCGCTTTCCTACGCCTCCAAGGAATACAAATTTACCCGTATCTTGATGATTGGCTGCTCGTGTCCCAATCTAGGGAAGGACTCCTCTCATCCATCCGTACAACCTGTGCCTTGTTGGATGATCTGGGCCTACGCATTAATACTGAGAAATCTTCTCTTCTTCCGACGCAGATGCTTTCATTCATTGGAGCCCGCCTGGATTCGATGTTGGGGAAAGCCTTCCTTCCTTGGGACAGACAACAGATTCTTGCTTGCCACATCCATTGAATGCGACGAGATGGTACGGTCCCGGCAAAGTCCATCCAGAGGATCCTGGGACATATGGCTTCCTCGGTTGCTGTGGTGCCACATGTCAGACTTCGACTCCGTCCGTTACAACTCCTCTTCAACAAGATGTTCCACCCACAGAGGGACCCACCGTCGAAATTGATTTGAATCCCATCCTCGGTGCTCCATTCTCTACTCTGGTGGTCGGTACCAGCCAATCTGACTGTTGGGGTTCCCTTCAGGCCCTGATGTCCTTCGATAACCCTCGGTACCGATGCATCTCTTCTGGGATGGGGAGCAATATGCTCCAGCCTACACACACAAGGCACATGGAATCGTCGAGAATCCACAAATCATATCAACTTCCTGGAGCTGCTGGCAGTATTCAAGGCGCTACGCTCTTTCGAGGATGTTCTCCAACATCAGTTCGTTCAGATAACTTCGGACAACATAGCCACCATCTTCTATCTGAACAAACAAGGTGGAACAAAGTCCCCGACTTTGGCCAGATTTTCAATGAAAATTTGGGACTGGTGCATTCCGAGAGACATCACACTGATGGCAGTCCATCTGGCTGGTATGGACAATGTGCAAGCAGACCTCCTCAGCAGGCACGTGTTCATCTCTCACGAATGGGAACTAGATCCTCGGACACGTGACCATCTCTTTCATCGCTGGGGGTTCCCCGACGTGGACTTGTTCGCCACCCAACAGAACAAGGTGTGCGATGCTTACTGTTCGAGAGCGGGAATCGGGGACAGATCTCTAGGGGATGGCTTCATGATCCCCTGGAACAACCTGATCTTTTACGCCTTCCCTCCAGTCCCTCTTATGATGAGAGTGATAGCGAAGATAGTACACAATCGGGCCTCGGGGATACTAATTGCCTCTTGGTGACCACTCCAAGCTTGGTTTGCGACACTGCTCGACATCTCTCGCAGGGAATGCCTCCATCTACCACTGCTTCTGTACCTCATAACCCAACAGGGCGGTACGCTTCGCCATCCAGATTTACTGTCATTGAACTTAACAGCATGGTGAATCCGATAGTTACCATTGTGCCATCGCTATCAACGACAAATTCAAGTGGTTCGAATCCTGCCGTCGACTCCAGTGCGTTCGGTGTTTCCTCTTCATTTCTTCCCTCCGTACCATCGGATTCAAGGATTGATCCGTCGAATCTGACAGCCTTTCATCCTGATATCCAACACATCCTTGATTCTGCTTTGAAGCCATCCACACGGAAGTCCTAGGAGGCTAAATGGAGATGATTTTCTACCTTTGCCGAGTGTCATTCGTTCTCTTCATTTACATCATCAATACATCAGATCCTTCCGTTCCTATTAGAACTGCACCATTCCGGATTGAAACTGTCTTCAGTTAAAGTGTATACGGCAGCAATAGCCTACCATCGTGGCTTGGTTGAAGGATCAACCACCTTCTCTCAACCTACTGTTAAGTGGTTTCTTAAAGGACTTCATACTCTTAATCAATCAATCAGGCCAGTAATGCCTACATGGAGTCCCTCTGTTTTTCTGCAAGCGCTTTCGAACCATTGGCAACAGTTGATTTACGTCTGGTTTCATGGAAGACAGCATTTCTTGTTGCGGTTACGTCAGCCTGAAGGGCCAGTGAGCTCTGCGCTCTCCGCATAGACCCTCCTTACCTGAATTTTCACAGAGAAATGGTCATTTTGCGCCTCGATCCATCTTTTTTTCCTAAGTTGTCCACACCTTTTCATATGGGACAGGATATTATCTTACCTGCCTTTTTTCCGTCGCCGTCAACTCCGTTAGAAAAATCATTGCACTCACTTGACGTTTGGCGCTGTTTAGCTTTTTACAGATCGAGGACTGAATCTATTCGACGCTCAAATAGGCTGTTCGTTAAA